AAGAGTACTCTTTGTTATACATCCATTACATTGATAAATTAATATCAATTACTCTTSACTATACATTACATTATCAATCATTTTAAGTTGACTCACCGTTGCTTTCTTCATGAGCTGGTTCAGTAGTCTGTAAACTGTCTTYTGAAGTCTTTGTTGGTTCCTCCACATTAYKAGTGCTTGTTTCCTTCCCTRCATCAATGTTATCAACTTCCTGTGTGCTTTCCTTTGCTACATGGCTGCTATCTTCAATGACCCCATCATTCCCATCAAGCTGTTCAGTCTCAGTGGGTTTCATATCTGATTTTGAAGTTTTTCTTTTGAAGATTGACCCCCATGACATCTTGAACTTTGAYCCTCGTGTGCTRACAGGTGAGGATTTCTTGTGTTCAGGAGAGGAACTACTTGATGAAGAAAACARTCAAAATGATTAAAAAGAAAGTATCTCTCTCTTTGGTCTAAAAGYCTAATCTGTTGTCTGCATTTTGCCCCAACAAAATTGATTTAAAAACATYTTTTCRCCAGATTTTGAACYAAACATCAATTCTACATGCTTACCTTGATGATAAAGGTTTCCGTACAACTACTCCCCCTACCACTGTGGTAGAATACCCCTCTGGCTTGGGGGAAGAAGCGTCCCTCTCAGCTTCATCAGTGTACCATACCGCATTGGAGTTTTCTGGTGATGCTGTTGCTTCTTGTACCGATGTTCCTTCTTGTGRAGCTGTTTCATYTTCAACAGATGGTGTCATATCTGCATTTTGCGTATCTGATTGACAAAATTAACGTACATAAGAGAAGTGAGATTAAAGAGAGAGACTGTTGGGTAATGATTATGATGATWACTTATATTCCACGGCAGATATTTTGTTTTGTTTACCAAAAGGTTCTCATTTGGTGAACTACATGTCAGCAACAGAGGTTAATGTCTAACAACCAAATCATCATTGTAATCACTATAATCAGTCCACATCATCATAATCAAGATAAYAGAAATAACATACCWTYAATTGTCTCGACTCCAGCTGAAACAGCTCCTTCTGATTTTATACCTGGTGGACTTTCAGCTTCTTGAGMTGTCTTTTCAGTCTGCTCATTTTCCTCATTAAACTCACTTTTTTCATTCRTTTTCTCTGTTATTTCTTCAATTAATTCTTTTTTTGAATGATCATTGTCAACTGCTGTTGTCTGATTACTTGCTAGATCCTCTATCTTCTCAGATTCCTCAGTAGAAGTGGGCATATTCATTGTAATTTCATCACTTTTGATTGTTGGTTCTGATTTTACTTCTTTGTCATGCTCTTTGATATGATCTTCTGCTACGTCASCAGTATGAATTATTGGTACAGTTGAAACTTCAGCTCCAKTAGTTGAAGAATCTTCTTTGCTTTCAACAGACATGGAACCCTGCTCTCCAATTTCATTGCTTTCCWTAGTACCCTCARTAGTYAATTCATTGTTTTTKTCACTTTCTCTATTTGAAATAGAGTCTACAAGTGTTTTTGATTCAATGTGTTCATTTTTTTCAGACTCTTTTTCATCAAACATTTCATCATTTGTAATTACTTTTGTAGAAGAAYCRTTCATTWTGCTTGWKTCATTATTTTTTTCTTCTGTCATGCAAGTTTCTGAAGGTTTTGWATGTTCAAGTGCAGATTCAGTATTTTCATTTTCATCAACATTTTGAGCTAAATTCTTGTGTACATCTGTTGGTACTGTGTTTTTTGAGCTTTCTTCTCCTTGCCCTAACTCTTGATCCATACTAATCTCTGCCATTTCATGAATATGAAAAAAATAACAACAAATTCTCTTATATTATAAAACAGTTTTGATTGACAAGTGCCAATTAACATTAGATCAATAATGACTGAATTTTGTGAATGCTTAAATTATTAAAACAGCATTCAATTTGAATTACAATATTGTACTGTATTCTCTTATGAATAATACATTTTCATAGTTTTTTTTCTGCAGAGCATCTAGTTTTTTATTCAAACAATTAGATGCAAAATGCATATACTTAAACAGAGATATCATAAAAATCTCAAAAACAGAAATACTAAAATTGTTCAGTATTTTTCTTAACTGAAAATAAATAATAACCAAACCCCCTGTTGACTTTGGCACTTATGAAGTTTCATTTTTGAAGTATCAATTATTCAATATTTTTGATATTGTATTCTGAAAACATATCTTTGACAAATCATGAGTGGAAACTAGAATGAATACTGTAGATTTTTAGCTATTTTTTACTATAATTTSTTTGCTATTATTATGAAGCCATATATGTACTTAACAAGATACAATTGCCTGCAGGAATAAAGATCGTTCAAAACAAAAGATTTCACATAACACATCTATATTTGCATATCAATTTCCATAGCTTTGGAATGTGGTAAAAGTGATTGTTTATGAMTTCCTATTTCCTTTATTAAAAATGAACTTTAAAATCTACTTCAAACAGCGCAAATTAGCTGAGAGATATTTTTAATTATAAGGATTTTAATTATTTTTTTTTACGTTTTAAGTCTGTGTTTATGCGTGCTCGTGACTTTATGCATATTCTAGCTGTTTTAACTTTAGGAAGACAAAGTCTAAAATGTTTACAAAAAAGCTTTAAAAATCAATCACAAGTTATCAATAGCACGCAAAGAGTACTTCCGTTTAGCAGTTATTAAAGAAAAGTAATAATTGTACCAATAAATTCTGCAGAATTGATCTCATTTGTAATTCGATTGAAATATAAGCCTCTGTACTTTTATCAGAGGTCCMGTRCCGCATCTATTAGGATTGATCACAAATCAACGAAAGAAGACCTACGTATAGAGCTTTAGCGCGATGAAGTTAACACCTGTAGTTGAATAAATCTAACTATTTCATAAAGGGAAAGTTGACTTTCCTGGTCGTCGAATACTACAAACAATTAAAGTTAAAATTCAAAGTTAATAAACCCTGTCCGGAAATACATGTCATGTCGCTATTCCGTTACTAAAACGCCAACAAACCTCTATCATACAAATATGAATATATTTTTAAGCAAAGATTTTGCGCAATTTATAAGKTAAGTGTATGTTAAATATCACAAGCCACCSACAAGTACCTAAGAACATAAGAAACTTAAAACTGTCTAAGAACCTCAGGCATTTGATYGCCAAAATCTTTAGTTAAACCAWGGAAATTTATATGYAAAAGTTMAGAACAAGTSCAAGGACTTACCTTTAAGTCACTATTAAAGAATCRATGTAAAATATGCTATGAAACTGAAGTTAAATTCAGCTGAAATCTGATTCGAAATTGCATGTTGTGAAACTCAGACTTGTGATTGCTCCTCGGTGGTAAGGGACTGGGAACTGGTCGCATTCTTACCATACTTTTGACCCGGAAAGGTGTCCCACTTCCGGTTGGAAATATAACTCTAAATACTTTCGCTTGAAAACACGCAAGCCAAAATTTCCATTCAAATACAATCACATACCATAGATATAAGAAAAAAAAGTTTATTAAACAATTCTCAAGCACTAGTTATAAGTACTTTTCAAAAACAATGTTACTCTTTTGCCGGGCTTCCTGTCMCTCCCTCTGTGAAGGAGACAAAGCAGGATATGACTGAAAAAGAAATTCTTCACATATTATACCCTGGGGAACTTAGCTGACGATAGTAAACCTAATAAACAGCGAAGAAAATTACATTATAACGGCTTAATAAGAAAGAGTTTATTTTAAGTTTTCGATTCAATCTCAGCCAAAACGACTCCAGTTTTCCGTGCTTTTTTCTTCATGGTACACCAAAGAAAGGTGCTGACAGTCAGAACAAGCAAGGTACAAATCACAGCACAGCACGTGATCACTAGATAAATCCACGTGTCCTGAAATATAAAATCACGTGATATTTCTCACTTAAACTACAACAACAACAACAACTTTTACAACAAAAATAAAAAAAATCTACACGCGTAAATCTATATACTGCTTCATGGGTGGCGGAGACGAAATCCAGGAAATAGATTTTTTACTTAGCATTCTTGAAATAACAGGTCCAGCTTTGAATYTAGGAGTCGCAGTCTCTTACCTGGCTCTCTTTACTACTCTTTACTGCTCCCCCCTGTACCGACACGTGCACAGTGCTTACTGTCATCCAAACATTCCTTGTTTTTCTTTAAATAACTACTGAAACCTCAAATTTGAGATCCTTTGGTGCACCCGCTGACCAGTGACTGAGACTGCAGTGTTAGTTATCGCAAGTAATGTCGGGATTGGATTGTAGAATTTTACCAGAAGTTTGGTTTTGGATGGGATAGCCTATTTTAAGCACCTAGAGCAATGAAACAGAAAATCAAAACARTTTTGCATTTCGAGTGATCTTGCTGCACGTACTGTGGACTCGCTGATCGATTGGTTAAGTTTCACACAGGAAGACCGGCTCGTTACACAGGAACACTAGCTACAGGAAGACTAGTTCGTCTCACCTGGAAGCTGTGACCATGAATGTGTACTGGGTGAGAGAGCTTTGCACCGCTGTAAGCCATCAAAACAACTTGAATCGTTYTCTTAGCGGGTAAATCCACTACGTTCGTACAGGCGCACACTTCTTCATCACACGCACGTGAACAAGGCGTGACACCCCACGTGGACGGACTTTGAACCAATGGGGCACGTGGTACAACYAGACGTCGGCTGTTGACCGCAGCGCCTTTTGGGAAGCCAAAGTTGAGGAAAACTTCGTGAACTTCATCGTCTTTAGTGTTTGGTATTTTCTCAGGGTCATAGAAACTTGTATCGAGAGAAAGGTTCGACACAGGAATACATGTCTGATGTGGATACCATATCTGTTCGTGAAATGAAACCGTTAAAAACATCACCTCAAAACGAACAAAAACTACAGTGACCAGTTCTCCTCGAGTAATATCATACATCCCTACCTTACTATATATTTTCCACGGACAATTCAGCACTACACATGGTTGTTCTGCTGTGCAATTTCGTTCTGTAGTCGTTGGATCACCGCTATAAGCAGTACCCACATACTCAAGTATACCCATGGCATCCCATAGATCCCCGTCAGGTGGAGTGTCTAAACCAATCCCAGTCCTCATGTTGATCGCTCGTATCCAGTAACGGCCTGGTTGCTGATTGGCTGTGATTTCAAAACTATAGGACTCGCCAAGAAAGATTATTGCATAGTCAACCTGRACTCGTTTCACTCGATGCCCATCACTCTCGATGACGGTCAGGGGATGTTGGTCGATGGAAATTCTGAGATATTTTCAAAAGGAAAGAAATTACTACTGACACCTCTACGATCTCTAAATTACGGGTATCAAAAGTCAAAATAAAAAGATGGTTAACATACAAGAAATAATGGCACTAACCTGTAAGGATAAGCCAAACCAGTGTTAATCATATGTAATACATATTTCTTTCCTTGTTTCACGGTGAATACACTTAACGGTGCCTTATTTATGTCGTCCTTTGCCGTTTATTAATCCGGACTAGTACTGAATCGGTGCCTCGAGAGTCCCGTCAAACATGTAGCCTAATGGAGGAAAAAAGTTTAATCGCATTTTTTAGCTTTTTTACACGAATTTCACATCTCCTGAGTTCAKTGTTGTGTGAGCTTTGCCATTTGGTGAAATAAGCCGAGATGTATTGTGCAATGCTTGGWCCTGGTGCTTGTCTTAGAAAACTAAACGATTTCAGACATAGTATGCTTGTGAAAACTAACGATATGAAATCAATTTTTACTTCTTCATTTATAAGTAATAATTCACCAAAAWGAAAAATCGCAATGGATGATAGCTACAATTCTTCAATAGACTTCTGAACCTTTTACGTCACTACTTGATTTTCAATGCATTGTGGGATCAGTTTCAAGAGAAAACAAAAGAAATCCGCCATGTTCTGTCCCAAACATATCCTACAATGCATTGCGAATACGGTACATGACGTAAAAGCTGCAGAGGTCTATTGAGCCGTCTCAAAAACATGCCGTCCTGAATAACCAATCAGAATGCATTATTACTTACTTCTTTTTGAGTCTGCGTAGAACATGTCACCATATCCCTTGCGCGCAACTCTCAATGGACTCGATATCTCGATATCTGTCGAATGTTGTCGAAACCAGTCGTTAAATGTCATGACGTAATACGGAATGGTTGGAAAAGAACTGGAATTAGAATGAATATACATTTAGCAGTCTTTGTCAAAACTAGACATCGTTATTATTAAAACATACACGAACAGAAGGCGAGGTTTTGACGTTTTTTGGGTGTCCGCTGCGGATTAAATCCAACTTCCATATCAAAGAGAAAAATWGCCAGTCGACGACTGCATATGACTCAGGCCAGTTAAGAGATTAGTGAACTACGAATACACTATCTTCAGTATACAACGTTTTCTGAATTATCTGTATACGCTGCAAGGAACTGGAAGCATCACGTGGCGATCAATCATTACGTTGCCTAAGAATCATGAATACACAACAGGCGTCGATTCCCAGGGGCCAAGAAACCTATTGTGACGATTGATCATTCCTCCCGTGGGGCCTGACGCGGGGCGCCCTGTTTCCCTTGCCTACAGTAAACATATCCGTCTGAAAGATTCGGAAAGGAAAAGTTTATCCACGTCATGAAGTGGTCCTTAGAGCTTTAATTTAGCTGTAATCAAAGAAATCTTTCTGTATCCGTTGATTTATAAGCTCATGGATCCTCATGATTAATTCTCGAACGTTTTCTCCGATAAAATGTTTTTATTATCTAAACTGTATTTTTACATCCATGTTTTAAAATTACTATTATTCACATGATTATAGTTTTGTAATAACACAGAAAACTTGCTAAGTTTTCCTTGATTTCTTTATCAATTTTATACGGATTAACGAAAATGTGGAACGTTCTAAAGGTCTTTAATTGTGTTCMGTTGAATTCCARCAAATATCTGCCTGTTGTAAACCACTTACGTTACGAATTTCAAGAGATTTGTGCCATGGTGTTTATCAGAAAACTAATAATGTCTGTCTGATATAAGAATGAAGAACTGTACACCTAATTTTCCTGTGATGATTTGGAAAACAATAACGACAATTGAACAGCGGTGAAAGCCGTCACAGTACAACGAGTACATCGGTGTTCGGCCGCAAATCACGGCACTCAGTACCCATTCTCGCCTGGCCCACCCCCCATCAAATAATAAATCCACCGAAGAATTATTATGCAAACCTAAGCCTGTATCGTTTGCTAATTCCCGATCTGAGTTCTGATTGGCTCGCTGCTCCCTAAGGATTTTGGTGACGTCATATATTAGCATAGAACTTCACCGAATAGACTACCCCAATTAGCTTTAGATATCATTAAGTGTCCTCATAGTACGATGGTCTAAGAGGGTAGCTAAAGGTATGCTCTAGTGGGCGGCTACCCCCTCACTCCCTGGCCTTTTGGTTAAGACTAAGTTTTATGTTCACTCGGGATAGCGTGGAAGGGCCGAAATCTCTAACCGTAACGTAAGCCGATTCGCCGCCTCAGCTTCATAGAATGTCTCGGGGGAATCGTCCCATCTTTTTAGTTTTTT